CAGTCATGGTCAAAAAGCTGGGACTGGCATACGAAACGTTTTAGCTGACTATTTTGTAACAGATGAAGGCTCTGTGCCGTGGCAAAACTCAAAAATTTAGATTAATAAATTGCATAATTGTTACTATAGATACTTATTTCACAATAATAATAAAATTTATAAATCTTATATGAGCTTCAATAACTTGTAGTGGACATATAAAACAAAATAATAATATAATATAGCCAAATGTACTCACCAAATTGTTTGCGCTCCACGGCATCTACTTGGTCGAAGTTTTCATCCAGTTTGATGCAGATCTCTCTCCAAGCATCTCTTGTTTTATTCCTGTCTTTATATTCCTCCGAACTTTTGTTCCAAATTACAGGATAATCTTCTACCAAACTTATTAGCACGTCTATGTCAATTTCCCGTTCGGACGTCATAGTAGTAGTGATCGCACACACAACACCAGTACAACCCAGATGCTCTCGGATCACTGCGTCCGAGTACTACAGGAACAGTGTGTAGTGATATATTTACGCCAATGCCCCACTAAGTCTCGGTACGGTGAAATGCCCGGTCCGAGACTCGGACGAAGCAGCAGGGATCCGAGAGGTATTCGGTCTCGGCCCGGGCGTTACTCCGTTTCTTGTATAATGTGAAAAGACTAATATGTTTAAATGCCCTGGTACGATTTATACGAAAAACACTCGGACCGTTAAAGACCCGGGCCGGGTGTTTTTCTTATAGTGTGTAACGACACTTAGGCGAATATACTTTAGCATTGAAACTTCCGTGTTGACGAGTAAAACAATGATTGGCGCATCACCTAGTGACCGGGCGACTAACTATATATACATGGCGTGAAATTCAAAAGTTTAGTAATATTACCTAGGATTGTGAATTCATTTTAAAGTAAAGGAAAATCGATATAATCCTAAAATAACAAGAAAAATCCTTATCCTATACGATCATAAATATTTTTCGCATACTTTTTGGGTTTTCTTGTTATGTTGAGACTATATTTATTTTACATTACATTAAAATGCCAAACTGGTTAAAAAAATTAAAGAATAAAATATAGAATAAAATCTTTATTTATAAAAATGTTACAAGAATTGTTATATGTGTTACAAGAAATATTAATAATAAAAGCCAAGTGTACTATAATTTAGTTTTCTTAATGTTGTGGCAAGAACTGGTCAGTATTTAAATAATTGTTTTGTCTTAGTATGTCAAGTTTTATGTGAATAAAAGCCTAATTCTGCAAAAGGTATTTTACTACAATTTTATTCTCATAATTCGCAGAGAATTCAAACATTGGTATATAACATTCAAGATTTTTTTAGAAAGCAATGAATATAAAGATAAATCCCTAGAAGACAAAGATAAGTACATGCTTTTAATAAATTTAGTCTATAATTGCATAAGCGAAGCAATCAATGGCGAAAACCAATTGCTTTTTTCACACATACCTACTCTCACAGATTCTGAATGAAAACATGCAATTGAAAAAATGCAAATGCATTGAAGTATTAAAAAAATGCAGACATTATCTGGTAGAAAAGTAATTCAAACCAATCACAGATTAAATCACAATTTTTTGTATATAGAATACTGGCATATATAAAATCTGACAAGGAGAACTAGCTTTACTTCACAAGAATTTATTAATTATCGACACTCTAAAGGAATATTTCAAGTAGAACAACACCATATAACCATGAAGAAAATGGTTAAGTTGAAAGATACAATGAGTTATATGGAAATTGGTGAATCTAGCATTGAAAACCAAATATTTAGACATCACTAAATGAAAAACTGCTTTACCAGGAGCTCTGTACTATATACGAAGTTTACTATTGAATTGTTATATTAATGAATCATGATAATGATGAAGATGAAAGTCCAAATAACACATTAGAGAATTCCACTACTAAATCAATACCAGATGTGACAGAAAATTTACCTGTTCAAAAACCTGATGATAATTATGAACCAAGATTGGAAAATTCAGATTGTAAATCAGCTGGAGCTAAAAATAAACCAAGATAGTTGCAATATTTTGTTCACAAATAGGGACGGAAAAATGTAGTATAATTTAGTGTTCTAAATGTTGTGACAAGAACTTGTCAGTAATTAAATAATTTTTTTTTGAATTCTATTGTCAAATTAAAGCCTAATAAGCAACAGACAGTCGTCAGACATTCTGAGTTCTTTGTAGTACTTACATCCTAATCTAATAACACACACTACCAGCGGTCAGTGAGAACTCTTACTGTCTGGCGTTCTACTCACAGAAAGACAGAACTCTGCTAAGTTGGAAACAGAAAAATTAAATGATTTAGTTCTAGAAAGAACTTTATATACATTTATATGATAATATTTTTAGTCATATTTAAACCTATAAACCCAACAGTTAGCTCTAACATTCTAAGATCCAGCACTATAAAGAGGGAAAAATAACATTAAAAATAAAAAAATATGTAAAGTATTACCTAGTTACAATAAAAACATGAAGTATTTTACAAAGTTAAGTTTCCAAACTCTATGTTAACAGTAACTCTTTTCTACTAATATTTATATATTTATTGAGAGACATATTAAATACACTTAGATTTAGGTTGTTCTACAAAATGGAACATTAAAAGTACATAGATGAGACAAACCATGGTAATATGGTGCTCTAAGACCAATCTCACTCACAAGAGAGCACAGATCCCTCCTCGCACTTAACAGGCAAGCTCAAAGACCTCTCCATATGATAGTGTAGTCATGGTCTGCTAATCTAATCCAACTTTGAAAGGCGCATACCTGTAGAAATTTATGTCGAACCCTGTCTAAGGTGATGATTTTTAAGATAGTTAGATTGTAAGCAAGTAAGACTGATTTTATAATATATAATTTTAGGTTAAATTTATAATTAACTAATTTTATAAGTAAAAGATCACATACATACATGTATTGGCATAACAGTTCTTACCTGGTGCTGGTAAAAACAAACTCAGAAGGGCTGTTCTCGTAATACCGGTATGTCCAACATTAATTATATGGTCCTCTTAAAAATGACTAGCGTATACACGAAAATTGTTATAAATAGTTTCTGTTGCAGCATTCTATAATTAGGGCTCTTAACAACATTCACCCATTTATCAAACATATCCATATAAGAAAAACTATATTGTTTGCCAGTAGTATCCATGCAATCTGAAACACATCTTTTTTGTTCAGTTCTTCGTCTCTACATTGTTATTCCATATAATGTGTTCGAGTCCATAATAAAAAATCGTTTAAAATTGTACCTTTTTGCACCACTGATATAAAAAATTTTAAAATAAATTATAAAAAATAAAACAAATACAAATGTGGCGCCTTATTTGTATTAAATTCAATTTTGATTTGACCACAGCACACTCCCTCCGCGTAGGAACGAGACTAGCAGCGCCGCCAAACGAATGGGCGTATGGACGCTAAATCCGAACGTGATTTGACATTGCCTATCTCTGTTACCAATCTAGGTGTAATTTTATTTATGATTCTACAGATCATCGCGGACAGCCGATCAGCACGGACGACAACGCACCGCAGACAGAGCTCTTCCTACGGTCCGTGACAGTCTGTGTAGGTCCGTGACAGTATTGTTTGATTATATCATAAAAAGGCCACTCAGGCTTGTAAACATCATCAGCCCCACTTCCAGTTCCCATCGATTCTCCAACTTTTGTTTTTTGCCTTTTGTATGTCGGCATTAAATTATTTCTCTTCTTTTTTAATTCTTTAATCGAAATAGTACTATTCTTCAATTGATTTTTTATTCGGTTCCATACATCGTATATATCGGTTCCGTTTCTTATGCTCTGGTGCCGTAGAATTCCATAAATTTGTTTCATTTTGATACAAATTTAAAAAATCAAAAATAACTTCGTTTGTCCATTCCATTTTTTAGCAAAAAACTGCAAAACAACTTTGACAAGACTACAGACAACTATTCGTGTCAGCCAATGAAAAACTTCTGACTTGCAGTTGTCTGTTAAAACACAGACGCGCTAGGAGCGCGAGCACGAGCATATACCGCACCTTTGATGTTACCGACTCTAGATGGATAGGACGCACCAGAACGGACGTGTCTGTGCTACCACGGACGAGACCTTTCCCACGGTGCGTGGTGCGGGCTGGTCCGCTTACGTCCGCAATATCGCCGACCGTGGGAAGCCGCTATAAGGCGAGAGGAAAAAATATTAGTGTATAATATTATTCTATTAAACAACTCGAGAAGTTAGTTTTGCATTAACTACAAATAACTAAATTAGAATAAGGGCAAGCAAATTCTAATAAGTATTCCCAGCTATTAAGTGGCATTCTAATTTATTCTATTCTATTCTATTCTATTCTGGCTATTCTAATTTTAGTAAGTGTATTCCCAGCTATTAAGTGGCAAAACATACAGCTCATCATAAATTCGGTGACAATGACCATCCTATTCTGTTACTGATTGAGCGAACGATTCCCATCGTTCCATATTGTCACGGTCACGTTAACATATCGAATGGTGATTCGAATACCATTGCGTTTTACGTTATAGTTACACTGTGACAAAAGTAATAGGCAGTTTGCTGTAACGTATTATTGAGAAAACGAATACTTATTGGTAATAGTGTTATTTATCCGATTATGTTATATAACGCCCATAATGCGGACCTAGTATGTTCTATACGAGCACGAATTTCGATCTCGTGAATTATAAATAAATATTCAAATTCACCATGATTTTCGTGTAAGATAAGGGTTTCTACATCTGTTTACGTAGCTAGTTTTAACTACTTTTAATGTAAGTATTTTCCACATGTTTTGTAATTTAACAGTCAAAATGTTACCGTATGTTTTTGTCATTTTAAAGTGGCAACATACCAATATACACAAGAAGTCCTTACTTCTATGTAAATTTATTTTGGTTTCAGTTTTTACTGCTTAAGTCCGTACTGCAATTACATAGATAACGATTGATTTCCTATTTTCAGTAATGCAATAGGACCATTGATTACATTATGGTTGATATACTCAGAAGGATCCGTTCAGCAGAAAGCCGAAACTCCATTGTTGATACTGTTATATGGAGGGTTCGGTATTTCAGTGGGATTATGGCTGTGGGGGAGGAGAGTTATAGAGACCATTGGCGAAGATTTGACTACCATAACTCCCTCAACGTAAGTATTCAAATTTTTTATACCTACACAAATATTTTCTATGTTTTATAAAAAAAACTTTATTCTCAATTTTATATAGCGATTGTATGCGAAGTGTGACTTTTACTGGAGTAAATTTAATAAAAATATACTTAAATTTTCCTTTCAAAATTCATTTTTGATACGTCGATTTTTATTAATATTTGCCTCATTTTACGATGGTTTTTACTTCTAAAGAGGGAAGAGAAGTTACTAACAACGACTTTAAAGGGAGTATAGCTAATTATCCACCATTCTTATTAGAAAAAGAGAAGAGACGATAAACATAATTATTTTGGTTTCACTGCATTAAAACGAACTTCTAAGTTCTTAATTTTTTCAAGTCTTAGTTCTTAATATCCATCTTCCTTGCCTATTGCGTTTCTATTTCTTTTAATGCAAACCTACATGACAAATCATGTCCATTATAATATTGCGAATGGATTTGTTTTACTTTTTTACCATTAAATATATTTGAAGCGTTTGTCTTTCAATTACTCTCTTTCTCAATTTCTTCAAATTTTATTTTACTGTGTTATATGTGAGTAAAGGTAACACATATTGGTTAAATACATCAATTTCAAAATGTTGCGCTTATGTATTTTTTTCTGGTTTTTAGGTCTAATGGATTTTGGTTTTTGAGTCACTTAATAGTATTTAAAAACAGTTTGCCGCTTGCGATCCACTACCTCTGAGCTGATTTATTGGTTTACTGACCGAGTATACTTTCCCAGTGAAAATTATATTGCCTTCAGATCTAGGTTTTCTTCCGGTCGTAGATGATGCTTTTCAGCACTCCCACTGTCAACACGGTGCAAGAATGCAAAAATGTCTGCTTGAAATACAGAGGTATATTCTCATAGTGGAATTCTCTTCTTTAGGTGCCCTGTCAGAATTCAGACGTTGGCCATCAACATGTTTACAATTTACTGAAACTGTTCTCTATCGGCTGATGCGTATTATTTGTTTCACTAATTGATACCATGATGACTTTACTAGGGAGTATAATGGGCTGGTTTCCCATTGCCGTCCCCATCGAAGTGTTTTAGCCGTATCAATCTAACATGGTAATTGTCGCCTAAAATTGTCCGTATTAAATTTTTCTGAAAAATTTTTCTACACCTCAACATAGTAATAAAATTCTGCTTTTCATTTCCAGGTGCTAGTTTTGGCTCTCCCCGAGTGTTTTATTTGTTTTATTTCCGCGATACCACCCATATCTAGGAGACATTCCCCTATCCACCGCCTGGAAAGGTGCTTGGATCTAGCAACCACCACAAGCCTAGTGAAATAGAAATGATTTAATTTTCGCCACTAGTAAATATTCGTGCACTTGACACTTCTACAGCTTTAGACCCGTCTATGTACCAGGTATTACCCCTGCAATCTGGATAGAGTTTTTTCTGTCTGTATCTGAGTAACGTATGGTCAGAACTCCTTATCCATTTTGATTCTGATATTTCTGATGTCATTTAAGGTATTACTGTCATTACATCACGTATCAGCCTAAGAGACTTAGCTTTTTCTTGGACCAGTTTTGCCACGTTTGGGTATACGAGCTACGCTTGTGCGCCTTATGCTTTTGGTATGTAGCCTAGTCCTAAACGAACATGTAGTGCCTTATATAGTTTATTATATGGTAGGTCATTTTATTTCTATAAAAGTACTGGATAAATCCAGTCCGGACTCGATGATTAAAATGGCTCATATGAGTGTATTGCCCATTTTAGTTGGTCCTGGTTTATTACTTCTTTTTCCACACGCCAGTTTTTCCTAGAACTGTAACTCATTATTGTAACCGTTACCTTACTGAAGGGTTGTCACTCCCGAAGGTACTTTTTAAAAAGGCCCTTTTAAAGGTACAACTAACAGAGTAACAGCACTTTATTTATTATAATTACAACTGACTTTAAAATAAAAATTTATAATATTTATATGAAATTAATTGATGACGACCTGTCTGCAATATGTGTCGAAACTGCTGATCGGCTGGACTATTAAACTGCAATACCGCTGATAATTTTGCTCAGATTTTCTCGGACGTCTATAATATCCCATTCTTTCCTCCTTTAATAACTATACACTATACGTAAAGGGGGGGTCCAATAGGGAATCCATAGTTATCATTAATGTGCCCCCATAGCCTCTGTGATGCTAAGGTAAGCAAATTTTTGAAACTTAAATAGTTTGTGAGTGGCATTCTTTTGTCACTATACCACTGATGTATATATAATTATCTGTTTTACCAGCATATTATCCCATCTAACACGTCTGATTTTAAAACTCAAATTTTTCCATAAGTGTGTCTGGCTACCAATAACGGAGTGACCGCTTTCTTAGTTATTTGTTCTATCTGTTGCTTCCAAGTAAGTGTGCAATCTAATATTACCCCAAGATACTTTACTTCATTCATTAGATTTAGATGTGTACCATTTAGGCTTAGAGGCCCCCAATACCTCTAGATTTTTATTTCTTGTAAATTTTATGATTTTACTAGTCAGAGTCCGTTGCATTCTAGCTCTGACTGTGCTATTAAATTTGCTATGGGCTAAAATGACCAATGACCAGGTCATCCGTATAGCACAGGACGTGATGTTTGTTTTTGCTGAGTCTAGTAGCTATCAATCCCCCCAATCTAGTAGCTATCAAAGAAGAGATAACCCCCTCCCTGCGGACAGCCTCTGGCTACTTGTATTCTACAGTGTATTCCCCAGTAACGTTGCGTATACAACACGGCTTCTCAGCATGCAATCTATCCACCAGAAGCTTGTTTTGTTTATTCCTTTCAGACGAATCACCCTTGCGTTTGTTTCGTAGGAGATGTTATCGAATCATTCTATATTGAGAACTGCACTCAGCATTAATTTTCCAGAATGTACTCCACCCTCTGTATGAGATGGTGCAGTGCCGTTTCCGTAGAGAGTCCTGTTCTATACGGTACTCTCTCTGATATATCGGACTTTTAATCAGTAAACTATCTCTAATATGTGAATCGGAAATTTTCAGTACATCACTTATCAGCCTAAGAGACTTAGCTTTTTCTTGGACCAGTTTTGCCACGTTTGGGTATACGAGCTACCCTTGTGTGCCTTATGTTTTTGGTATGTAGCCTAGTCCTAAACGAACATGTAGTGCCTTATATAATTTATTGTATGGAAGGTCATTTTATTTCTGTAAAAGTACTGGATAAATTCAGTCTGGACTCGATGATTAAAATGGCTCATATAAGTGTATTGCCCATTTTAGTTGGTCCTGGCTTAATACTTCTTTTGCCACACGCCAGTTTTAACTAGAACCGTAAGTCATTATTGTATCCAGTCGATTATGCTGCCATGTATCTAGTAGTATCAGTTTTGTTTTTAAGTGCACCTTGTAAAGTTCTTTCAGGGTCTCTTTAGCATTCTGAATGTATTTACCTGAATCCTTTTAGAGTGAGGTAATACTTATTTGAGAGTTCTTTAAGAGAACTTTATGAAGCATTGGCATTTCTGGAGTCTGTTCTATTTTCTGGCAACGTCTTTTCCATGATTCTTTTTTCCTTCTTAGTTTCTTATTATATTCAGTCAACGAGTTTCAATAATCGTCCTACTCAGGTTATCATTTCATTAGGGTACTTTCCTGTTGGAATTCCTCACTATCTCTGGACAATTTTCTTCGAATGCTGACATGAAGATCTCTTAAAATTGTTTGACGACAATGTCTAGACCTAGTATATCGTCTTATCGTCCCTTAAACAGGGCTTAAGCAGTATTCCAGGTCTGATTGATATGCTTTCCAATTTATTTTACGAGGGTTACAATAAGTTCTCTTAATAGGCTTATTGCCTGTATTTCAAAATAGATATGTCTGTGGCCTGAATAAGAAACCTCATCTGGCTTATGCCATTTTTTAACGGTCCTAGATACGTGAGTCGTGACCAGTGTTATATCAATGATTTCCTTTTGTTGTTTAGTTACGAAAGTTGGTTTATTTTCTACAGTTAGTATGTCTAAATCATATTCACATCACAGCTGATTATCAGTTCTAGTAAATTTAACCTGCTCTTACTGTTCTGTTTCCTTTTGTGGTGGTTGTTCGGTATCATAATATGGAAGGTATGCTAATATTAATTTTACTACTTCATACTCTTTCCCTATGGGATTTTTATCTTTACTGTCGTTAAAATCGTTAAAACAGTAATGCATCAATGACACTATTTTATTAGCTGTCTTACTATACTAGAAGTTTCCCCTGCAGGACTCCGATTGTCTCGAAGGATAACTTTCTGACTCTGTAATATGCCTTAAACTGCGTTAGAAGAAACTTCTCGTTCTCTTTCGATTTTTCAATGGCCAGTGTTTGTATTAAGCTCTTAATTTTGTTTCTTTTGGCGGGCGATTAGTCTCTTTCTTGGGAACGCGGATAAGGACCATATGGCGCTTAGGCATGTTATGATTTTGATTAATTACAGTTAAGTCTGCTCTCTCCTACATGCTCCCATAGCCTTCGCCATATCAACAGTCCATTTCTTGATATATTCATTAGAACAGTTTATCCGTACCATTCCTGCGCTAAACGTTATTTTATGTAACTGCAGAAGATGATTCTAACTTCAGATAGGAACCAAATTCACTGCTTGTACAAATTTGTTGACGATCAAATCTACTAGAGCCTTATCTAGTTCAGTATCAAGATGATGTCTGTGTATTTTTGTCTCTTTTCTGATCTTCCCCTTATGAGGGGAAATATGTATGTTTTTATTTATAAGATTAGGAGAGTCACTCATTTCTGAGCTGCCTTCTGAGTCATATCTTTGGTTTTGTCTCACGGATCCGGACGCGCAGTAGTCGCAAGCACAAATCTGACCCTATGATGAGTCAATTGTGGTGCGGCTGCCTGATTTGATCACTGAGCATGGCGTGAGTAAGAAGTAAGTTTTCGTTTGTGTATATGTGTTTTCGTATATGTACATGTTAATGTATTTATGTGTGTGTGGCTTATGTTTAATCAACAAATATATAGTAATGACATAGTTGCAGCGCCTATGCCATGTTCGCAGTTTATTTACTTTGGTTATATTGGTGTTCATTTGGATATTCCTTATTCATAGATGTCCTATATATGTCCAAATGATGTTATCTATCAGTTATTAAAACCATAAAAGTGCCTATGTATTATTATGTCATTTGTTTTCCGAATACCGCTCATAATCGGTTTATTTCCCTTTTTAACGTCAGTTTAAAAGAGGTCCTTAAAAAGGGCAAGTTATATGCGTATATATTATGCGCTATTCTAATTTGGTTAATGCTCATTCATATCTTTCGTTGCAAATTAAAGCCATTTTGGCTTTAATTGCGTACTTCGAGTGAGGTATATTCAATCCATATCGTGTGCCATTGATATTATTAAACTGCAAGTTGCTGGTTTATTGCTGTGGGCAATTTTCTGAATCTAAACCAGTTTAAATATGATTATTGCCTATTTTCTGGAAAGTTTTATTGATGAAAGTAGATTGTGCTATTTCTCAGGTAATCTTAGGTATTTTGAATAGCATTAGTAAATTGGTACTACCCCTAGAAAAGCAGGCGTCTTTCTGCCAGTTTTCACGTTTTGGAGAGCTACTACTATTTTTTAGGCGGTAAAGTCACGGTAAAATTCTGTATTTTCTAGATTGTTTATTGTAAATTACTGAATTCACGTTTTAAATAATATTTTGTTTGCTGTCTATCACGTGGTTATCTAGATGGAGCTACTAATTTACTAGCTACCAGGTCTGGGAATATTAAATAAGCTTTTTAGATGGGTGGGGTACCTCCCTCCAGTTCCATAAGTAGCATCGAAGAATATATTCTTGGCCTTGGTAAGTAAATTTTTGGCGCACACAACTTTAGACAGAAAACAAACTCTTTCGAGGAATCGAATATATTAATAAATGAACGAATATATTTTTTTTAGTATTATTTGGCAAAAGCCACTAAAACTTATGTGATTTGTTATTTTTAGGGGATTTACCATAGAAGTAGGATCAGCGTTCACAGTACTAATAGCAAGCAAAATTGGAATTCCTATTTCTACAACTCACTGTAAAGTTGGATCTGTGGTATTCGTAGGATATTTTAGTTCGTCCAAGAGAGGAGTCGATTGGAGTCTTTTTAGGTAAGTTGTGGTTTCTAACTGCTTCCGTATAAAAAAGACGTAGAGAGATATTTACAAAATTGCAGCTATAAGATGACTAATTTAAAATTACCCACTTATTAAAAATGACATGATTGAAAATGGAATTGAATTGAAACGTATCCCTGGAGTTGTATGTTATTTTCAATCAAAATCAGTCGGAAGTCATTACTTGGGGGGTTTTCGAGGTCTCTGAACACATGAATTCTATGACGGCGATGATCCTGGAGCTACCTGGTCCTAGGGTGAATGTCGTCTTCTAAAGTTTTATGTTATTTCCATTCAAAATCAGCCAAAAGTCATTACTCGGAGGTTTTTGGAGTTGCTCAACACGTATATTACAATGGCGATGATCTCCAAGATATCTGGTACCCAGCGTGAACATCGTTTCTTGTAGTTTTTGTTATTATTTTATTTAATAATTGCATAAAAGTACGGTATGAAGAGTTAAAATATAATTTCTTAAATAAAAATACAAAAAAAAATTTCTAAGTAAAAAAAGATGATTAATAAATAATCGAATCATTTAATTTTATTTCTTCCTCAGAAACAATCTCGAAAACTACCGAGTAGGTTTAGAATGAAATTACCATGAAACTTCCGGAGATGAGGTCACTCTGGGCACCACATACTGGACCCAAAAACCTCCGAGTAATGACTTTTGGCGGATTTCGAATAAAAATAACAAAACTCCAGGAGACAAGATCGCCTAATAGCTCAAGAACCATCGCCGTCTTAATATTTTAATATGTATTCATATTCAGCGCTCTCGAAAACCGATTCGACTGATTTCGGATGAAAATAACGTAAAACTAGAGGGGACGAGGTTCATCCTGTACACCAGGTAGCTCGAGGGCAATCGTCGTTGTCATATTCGCATTCAGAGACCAAAAAACCTCAAGTAATAAAATTGAACTTATTCCTGTCGATATTTTCTGAGTTGCAAATTTTTCATTTTCTATGTACTTTGGAAATACATTTTCCTTGTGCACAAAATGCAATTTTCATATTACCACCATAAATTTTATTCACAATCTTTGTTTTATGAAAATTAATAGGTACATTTCTTTGACTAAAAACTGTAGATTTGTATTATACATAAACTGATAATAATTTATTTGTGTTTCTTTTACAGAAACATCATTTCCGCATGGGTAGTAACGGTTCCAGTAGCTGCTCTTCTTTCCGCCGGTACCATGGTATTGTTGAGTTACATAGTTTTAACAAAAGTTCAATAGAAAGCTGTTAATTGTTTTTAAGGCCACATTGTCGATAATGTCGTCGTTTTATGACTAGCCCCGAAACCCTTTTAGTATTAATACAATAAAGATAACGTTGTTTTAAAGTTGGAGGATTCTTTTAAAACTACTCAAGCATTCAATAAAATAAATAATAAACAACTCAAATAATACATTTAAGCGATGTTTTTAATTTATTCTTTTTATATGTACGTATTACGTAAAGTCACTTATTAGTTCCACAACACTTCAGATTCCCGAAGTAGGGTGTTTTCATGTCCGAATATCAAAGAGGTCACATCTTGTGAAGACGGTACCTCCCGGACCACCAAGCTTTCTCTGACCCCTCCCCAATCGCAGACATAACGTTGGGAAGACTTTACTTACTTTTAGTCTTGAATGTACTACGAAATAGGATATCCGAGAGGCCTTTCTGCTTCTACGGTGATACCGTTTTCGCAGGGGTGGCGTTATGCGTCTTAATCCGTATATAGCTTAATATCATTTGAAGCAGATATTTTTTAATCATTTGCATATTTAGGAATAATAATTTGAAAACCCAAATAGACGGCGATGTTATAGCTTGCTTTAAATAATAACGCAAGCTAGAATCAGCGAAAAGTGCTGTAACAGAGGTATTTCCTAGTTGAACAATTTTAAAACCAGAACTAAATCTTTTTCTTAAAAGTGCCAATGAAAAAACATAACCAATTACTATTTCTACCGTTGATACAACAGCATATCAGTATAATGATCTATTAAGCCTATACTATTACATTTTGATTTAGTGCTTTAAAAACCTGAAATTCAGTTTTTCTCATATCTGTTAAAAATTACAATTACAATAACTAAGATATATCCTACCATCTTCTTCGTAACCTTCTATCATTCATTCTTATACATAGACCTCTACCAAATCCTTCCATCGATCCTCAGCAACACACTTCCAACTTGTTATCATATTAATGCTCGTGATATATAAACAACCTACTTTTTAGCAAAATTTAAAAAATCCTTATAATCGATAATAATTGCCATTTTTTGACTTTTGACAATATTTAAAGCTAGTTAAAAACCTTGTCGTATGGTACATAGTAGTACACTACTCAATGTTGCAGTTGTTTTGCAGTCATATAGCTCTTGCATCTTGCAATATTGGAATTTTGCTGAAAGTTTCTAACTTGCTACTGCTTTTTATAATTATACCATTTCTTACAGTTTGTGCAGTGCTGAGGTACCTACTTAAAAGGTAATTATGCATAGACTGTAGCAAAATAATTTCTAAACATAAAGTAAGGAGCTTTTAATATATAAAAATAAAAATATATAAAAAAGAAAGGAGACAATGATAGAGAAGATAAAAAACAAGGAAATATAGAAGGACAATGCAGAAAATTAATAGTAATCTTATTTACCGTTGTATATTATCTCATAACTTTTTTTTTTTTCTTTTTGGTAATAGGTATGTGCACTTTTCCGTTATAGTCATGAGTAGATATTTACAAGTGTAATAAACCATTGAGCAATAGGTACTCGTAAATGTGTCACAGAACCTTTTACAAGTGATTAAACGTGATTTTATCTTTGAAAAACTACAGTAGTTGTAAAAGAATCCATTCTAACCGTTTCCTAGAATAGTAAAATCTTTAATTACAGATTTAAACTCTTAAAAAATTTTCAAATGTTAAATCTTGCTTTTGGTCGTCGTCATTCTGATTCAAAGCTTGGTTTAAATCAGTAATTTTTTAGATTTAACTATATAGACTGTGGCTGTATGCCTCCGTATTAAGTTCGGTATAGAGTAATGTTACCGTTTTTGTGTGTCAGCTCTGCTAAAATTAATCATAACTTTGTAGAATTTTAAACAAGGACCTATTTTTGTTATCAAAAAAAAAATGGTACGATCTAATTACTGTACTAGATAAAAGAAAAATCACATTTCGCTAGCTTGGATTCTAGAATTATCTTCATTATCGTCATTACCCAACTTTTACATCAATATAACAGAGTAGGTGTGGGCATTGTTCCGTAATCATTGTAGTGTATTTTGTCTTGGTATTTATTGCTCTGTGATTTTTTGGTATATATATTGAAATATGTCAATTTTGTGAACCATGTTTCGAAACTTGTGTAACATCCTAGTAATACCTTCATATAACGCAACTTTCATCTTTTTGTCGATATTTTTATATTGTAATTAGGTCACACGAGATACAGTTTTTCAAGTGATCTTTGTAGCAAAATTTCAGAATTTAATTTTTAAATTTATTTTTAGAATTTAGATATATCTCCATATATCTTTATTATTTTCCCATCAATTTCGATTTTACACCGTAGGGGGTATTTGGGGTGTTGTCATATATTTGGTTTTGTCTGCTGATATTATCATATGTATTTCTTAGTTGTTGCATTGAAGATATGTGTTAATCTTTGGAGTTCCTCTTCTGTCTCGGCGATTAATGCGGCGTCGTCTGTATAACATATTTGGATTTCTTTGTTCCCCATTCTGTAGCCATGACCTTTACGTACTGCTTGTATTATTTCGTCCATTATTATATTAAAGAGAAGTGGGCTCAACGAGTCACCCTGTCTGACTCCATTTATCTTTGCCTATATTCGATTTTGGAGGTAGATGTTTTCGATGGTTTGTATAATATTGATTGGTATGTTTCTTTTACACAGTAGGTGTAAGACGTCTTCGATTTGGATGTGATCGAAAGCCTTTGTCAGGTCTATAAAACTTATATATGTAGGTTTGTTGTACTCGATGGCTTTTTCTGTAATTTGTCTTAGTGCAAACACGGTGTCTACGCAGGATCTCCAGGATCTGAATCCTTGTTGTTTATCTGATAAAGTTGTTAGTTTATTAAGTTTAAGTGCGGTGTTCAATAGATTTATTCCTCTATAATTGTTGGGGTCTTCTTTATCTCCTTTCTTGAACATTGGTATCATTATGCTGTTTTTCCATGCAAAAAGTAATATAAACATAAACATTGAATACACAAAAATGAGAAAAATTCGAGATACGTAAAACTGAAGAAAAGGACTGGGTTATACACAAATAATAATCATTTGAGGAAGAATAATTTATTAGGAATAATTTTAGGAAGAGACAAAATATGTAAAAGGATTAGATAAATTTGACTTGCAAGAAATGAAACACTATAAAGGTAATAAAGACAAGAAAAGCAATGGGACTAGATGGTTTGAATGTGGATTTGTTGAAGTATGGTGGACTAATATTGCACTTACGCCTATTACACCTATTTAATGTATTAAAAAAGCCAGGGTACCAGATAACTGAAACAAGGCTAAAATTATGAACACAATAATGTCCTATATCTAAGACTATTTAAAGTGTGTGAAAAATAATAGATATGCATATCTAAGATAATATCAATATGAGAAAGCAATTGGATAATAATGATGCAATGATGATGCCGATAATGTCATACTTTTAAATTTTTTCTCTTCTATTATTTTATAGTGTAATAAATCATAAATGCTTGTTCTACATGCATATTTATTCTCTCTTTAAACGTACAAGGGGAGTATGTTGAGAAAAAAATAATTGTTATACTTATTTCTACTCAGTTCAAATTACAACTTGTACCTATATCTCGCTGACAATATTTTATATAGTTCCGGATATTCAAATATATAAGAATAAATTGGCCACCAAATAGTGTATGCTCGGCTTTATATTTGTTTATGGGTAAACATCTGTTTAGAATTTTTGATTTTACTTCATTTTTTTTTATTTTTAAATACTTAATTGTTGTTGTAAAGAACCTACCGAAATATGACTCACTCATTACCTGCTCACATCGCTCAGATAATAAACTAATATGTTTTATTATGATTTGTTCATAAAATAAATGAACTAATACGTACAGGTACACACTATGTTTTGTTTTATACAAGTACAGTAATTGGAATGACATTTGATATCATAAGAATCAAGAGATAAGAGAGTCTACAATTCATTAAAGATACTATTTTAGAAAAATGCAACATGGCGCCGCTTTTTATAGAAATGTAAAAAATATCGGCAAATGTACAAAAGGGATACATATAAATATAATAGAAAATTTACGAAATGTATTGATTGAAATGTATGAAATGTAATGAAATGGCAAAACATGTTGAAATGATAGATAGTTTTAATTATGGATGCGATCTTCTTTAAACGTCTTCTATTGGAAAGTTATACGTTATTCAATCAACGGTTATACTATTAATATAAACGTTTGAAATTTATACACTGACTTAGAAAACAATTCATTAAAACTACAATCAAGCGAGTTTTATAAGTTTCGTAGCCATATCATCATTATTTTTCCCAACTTACGCTTATTTAAAGCGTGATTATAAAGCGTACACTTGGTTGTTTTACTACCCTTGTGTACTACAAGGATCAAGAATTAGTACGCTCTATTAGAACTTAGAATTGTTTTGTTTAAGTGGTATACAAATCAGATTTTAACAAATTACACAGGAAGAAAGCAAAAACTATTATCCATATTTAGTATTAGGTGTTAACAAGGTTGTAGAATTAAAATACTGACTTACTCACATTCTATTTAGTTTGCGGCGATGAGTTTCGACCAATACAGCTATCTGGTAATCATCAGGTCACCGGTACAATTTTAAAATGCTTAAACAATTACAAATTTTAATTCAAAAAAGTTAAAAAGCCTTTATTAGGTATGGAGCAAAAAGTGCCAATATTACTAAATGTTTGTTAATAAGGGAAAAATTTTAATAAAAAGTAAATTAAAATAAATAAATAGTACATTCCGGTACAAGGTCTGTTGTTAGTATAGTATGTATAGAACTCTTATTTATGTTAAAGCTTTGTATATCGGTGTTCAGCTTATTATACATCGACATATAAGGAATGTATCATGAGGAGACAGTCTAGAACCTACCTTTGATTGGTGTGATTGATTGAAAGTAACTACATATTATTATTATATCACTTATACCGTCACAAACAATCATCTATAATTTTCAATCAATCACAACAACAAAAGGTAGCTTCTAGACTCTATAGACCATAAGATACATATGTTGACATATAATAAACTGTGTGTGTGTTTGTTTTATTCGCACTGGTTTTGACAAC